CTTATTATTCATTGCGTAAGGGGCAACCATTCATGTGGCATTCGTGAGCATTAGAAGTCTGCACATCTTGTCTGCATCTGTAGCGAATACCATGCAGGACCTCATCAGAGGCGGACCACGTTATATCAGATGGATCGGAGCTCATCCTCGTTAGCAGTGGCAGCTGGAACGCGGTCTACTAACTCGCGAAGTGACACATGACATGTGTATTGGTGCAGTACCTGAAGTCTATAGACATGAGGAACAGCAGGGCTTCCACAGACTCGACGAGCACCTCCAGACTTCGTGCGTGCTCTTCCTTCTTCGTCGCTCCTTAACACCAATGTCCTTTCGTTGGCTAACAAAGTGAACATGCCTTTTCTGACATTTTTGAGTCGGTGCATTACAAGAACGGCGAAAAGACACCAAACAAGATTGAGGGAAAACCGGCCCGTAAAAGCACATGCGATATATCTAAAGCACGTTATATGTTGGTCTTTTTTTTTCGTCCTCTCTATAAGCCTTCCCCATTGCCATTTACCACATTTAAAAAAGCAACACCAAGTTCGAGTATTAGTTGCTGGTGCGCATTTTGACTTGTAGATATCAAGCGCCGATTCGCGTGCGATATTATTAACACGCCGCATGCGTTTGCCAATGATGCCGATGTTGATTTGCTCCACGTTGACATCCCTAGGCTTTGGTTTCTGTAACGTCGCTCGACTGCCCTCACGTGATACTTTCTCCAGCACATATGCTTAGTCTCCCATAAGGGCGAGCCGTCGTGTCAATTTATTGTATTTCACGCGTAAACGGCACACGGTCATGGAAAGAAAGCAACCGTCAAACAGTATATAAAAAACGCATTTTTTTCTCGGTCTTCTTACTTCTTTTTTTCCCAGCAACGGCACATTCTTGCCCACGCACATTCCGGTTCACCGTTACTTCACTAAACCAGTAAGACCGAAATGATCTAGCTGCGCGCATCCAGCCGTGCCTCTAGGTGTCCTTGTTCCCGTCTTTCCGGCGTTCGCAGCGCGATGACAGTCACCGCAGCTGAAGGAGGACACGGTCGACGGCGGTTCGCCGACTCTCCAATCGAGCTGCTGCGACGGCGTGTCGTTTCGGCGACTGGCCTTGTGAAAAATCGCGAGCTCTCGTGCAGCCAGCAGGTATAGCAGCGCGGAACACATTTATCGGCGCCCCGCCGCGATGGTCTAGTGGCTAAGTATACCCGGCTGCTGACCCGCAGGTCACGGGATCGAATCCCGGCTGCGGCGGCTGCATTTCCGATGAAGGCGGAAATGTTGTAGACGGACCCGTGTGCTCGGATTTGGGCACCCGTTAAAGAACCCAACATGGTCGAAATTTCCGGAGCCCTCCACTACGGCGTCTCTCATAATCATATGGTGGTTTCGGGACATTACACCTCACATATCATCATAACATTCATCGGCGATTTGTGCCCACAACACCCTATTCTCCACTCCCCTTCCTGGTGTCATCACGTGAAACATGCTTCACACCGTAGCATAAGCCTGTTGCGTGTGTAAGTCTGGCTATGCGAATGCACGTTCCTGCTTAGACTCTGCAGTACTCCTGTTGTGCGGCGTGTCAGGAGAAGCAGGAATATATGCGGAGCACATCTGACCCCATTCACGCTTTCCGACGTACCCACCTGTCTACATTCCTTCTTGCGGCTGGTGTGGTTGATGCGTTTTTGATTGACTCTAAGGCAATATCAGTCATCATACACGTGAGGATGGCCTACAGGAATCAATAATTATCCTAGTGAGGCTACAAGGAACGTTTGAATTTGATGATGACTCAAATACAAGACTGGGTGAATAGCGCATGTACAAACTAACCTCACCGTACAATATACCACCCTACATATGTTAGCTGAATTTAAGCATGGCCGTAAGTTTTTGTGTATTTTTTGTCAGTATCGATTAACATTAGTTTGTCGGCGCCAAACCGCGTGACCTTGCAAAAATTCAAGTTTCAAAAGGGAAATTTTGTCCAGAATGTGATCTGCAGTACGCCGTACATTATAAAGTTGGGGGCCTCAATGAGGGGAGGCTGCTGTTCGTAAACTTCTTTCCGATGCACTCTGTCGACAAGCAGGCAGGCGATATTAGCCTCCCCCGCAGTTAATTCTCGCTTATCGAGTTCGTCACCGAGTTAGCCGCTTATTAAGTTAGGTTGTTCTCAGCATGCAGTCGACGAATGAGGAGCGCACAAAAATGATCAAATCTTCAATGAAGGACAATCAACAGTAAATTAGGCTGTACCATGCATGTAAGTTTCGCAGAACAAAGCCTATACTCACTATTCTGGAGTTGGTCGCCTTTGTCTGTAGGCAAGTGCTAACGAGAACCACCCAGTGGAACAACTATTGCACTTTTCGTGATACGAACAGCTGCATAAGCGCTCTTCTTAGTGAGAGGTCGTGTATGTACTGGACCTTAAAAAATAATTTTAAAATTCCCATGTCGCTGAGCAACCATTCCTAGCAAAGAGGGCAATATGAGAAGAAAGGAAGAAAAGTAGGATACAAGTCATAAAAGATAACGTATAAGTGCTCGACGAAAGGTTTTCCAGACTTCAGTGACTATTTTCCGTCAACTGAAGGAGAACGATCAGATGTTTCTCAGTTGACGGCCCTTGTTACAATATACGAATTGCAGCCGGTGAGTTCTCTACTCAAATCCACTTTGTTGCGGATTCCGAGGGCGATTTGTTTTTCGAGATGCACATTGCTGAAGCTTGCAAAGTTATCCACTTGTTTTCCAGTGATTCCTAAGCTCATGTGCATAAAAAGAGGTTTTATTCAAGGGTAAGTACAACAACAGTACATTTTTAACACAATTTTGACGACTGTTGTTAGATAAACGGTGTTAATAACTTTCAAAGTTAGTTTCTAATATATGTAGTTGTAAAATCAATAGCTTCCTTCTGTAGATTGCAATACGTGCCCTGTAGTAACTATTTAACAAGTTGACTGGCGAAACAAAACTGCATTTCGATTTTCAGCATGAGTTAGAGTTAAACCTATATCTCCAAGTCTTCCAGCTTAGGAGTACAGTATAGTCAACTGTTAGACGGAGCACGCGAGTGAGTGGCCGGCAGACCATGGAGCGCTAACCGCTGGCGATATTTTGAAATACGGCGCATGCGCGTTGGTTCATCAAGGTAATACGTGCCCCGCGTCGTCTGCTACTTCTCTACCCATGCACACGGCGTCCGTTAGCGAGCCCTGACCGTTCGCGTTTTTCGTTATCGCGCTCTAAATAAACCGATACCAACTCGGCCTTCCACTTCTTTAATAAGCTTCCATTTCGTCGTTGAAAAGTCAGGCCTAGAATGTTCGTTGTATGATACTTTAATCACCTTCCCGCTATCAAAAGCGGCCAGTTGCAGCGAACAGAAATGTGAAAAATATTACAGGATTAACGGTATAATAGATTGCGAAAAAATACGGCAGTAAGTGAAAGCCCCACGCGTTCCCGTTGTGTGCTTGTTGGAAATCATACGACCAGCAGGCAGAGTGACAGCTATACAAAAAACAGCTCAGCGAAGATACAGAAGCCCTTTCCAATGATTTGATGCACACAGGCGTAGAAGTAGCAGACGAAACTGGACGCCCTTACGATTTTATGCGCATGCGCCACATTTATGAATCTCGCCGCGCGGCCACGAGCTCACGTGTTCTCTCTGACGGTGGACCGTATTATACATTTGTGAGATATCCAAGATCAGATTTTTATTAAAATCTTTGCGAGAACGTAACACATTGGATATTATTCAGGTCAGTGCCAATTATGGTGTAAGTTGCTTTTACACCATGGTCAGCTGCTCACGTGTCAGCGTCTGTGACGAACCTGCGCGCATGCCATGATAGTGTTGATTGCTACGGTGTGTCGTTCGCGTAGTCATTAAGGCGCGTTTACACTAGACAGACACGACACCGAGTTTGGCCTGCGGGCTGAGTGTCTTTTCTCTTGTTGTCGGCCTATGTACACTGCAAAGACACAAACAGTCCATCGTTGGTCTCTCGAAGACCCCGCCCACGTCTTGTCGTGCTCACAGTCTTTTGTTGGCCGATTCTGTAGTCACATTGGAGGTACACGCAGCAACACCGACTAAAATTGCACACCTGCACCTCATTTTCAGCCATGCTTTCTGCTCTGCCATTGTCCCCCTCTACCTACGTGGCGCAGCCCCCGCCATAATCCATGGTGAGGAGAGACGGAGGTGGTGGACACAATAGAGAAGCAAAGAAACAAATTCCGTTGGGTGCTCGACCAGTCTATTCACACGCCGCGGAATCCTCGGAGAGGGCATTGTTAACTCCTCCAAGAATGCCCGCTTCCTGGTTGTTTGAAGCAAATACATGGGGCAAATTTTCGCTCCGGCGCAGATCTCTCGAAGACACGCCGACAGGTCTACGGATGCATTTTGCTGGTGTTTTCGGTCTTCAATCATGTCACACTACGATGAAATGCTCTCTTTTGGGGCGTCGTCGTCGTCACCCGCCTAGTGTGACCATGGGGTCTGCGGACTTCGTCGGCGGGCGACTCGCCGGCCGATGGCTTGCGTCTGCCTCATGTCTTTGTCGGGGTCATGTCAGTGTCGTGTCTCTCTAGTGTAAACGCGGCTTTACACAGGGCGCATATATATATATATATATATATATATATATATATATATATATATATATATATATATATATATATATATATATATATATATATATATATATATATATATATATATATATATTCACTGTGCATCAGTTCAGTGTTCGTTTTGGCTCTCTATATGATTATTAGTTTAGTGCGTTAGTGCTAGCTGAGACCGTCTGCGAGTACCAGTGGATACAAGACAGTGCGTAGCATTCGATTATGAAATCTCGAATCACTGGGATGTGAACGGTGCGCTTATGCAGCCCGCTATCGGCATGGTGCGAGATAGACAGGCCTGACAGGTGTGGCATTGGTGGCTTTATTTAAACGCAGTGCCTTCCCCACTTGTGGTTCTACGCGGCTGACCTGCAGCTGCTAGTGGGCTTCACTCCAGCGGTCATCCTACTTGTCAGGTGAGTGCACTTGTGATCACTCAACACTGAGTAGAGATAATCTTGAGCGTTTGCGTTTAAAAGCCTGGAACAAGTTGCGTTTTTTTTTTTAATTTTTCTCATATCAGTTCTGGTACATTTCTTGTCTTGTGTATCTGCATTCTTCATTTTCAATGAGACGTGGGGCGATGGTCTCAGTAAACAAATAGGATTTCGCGGAGCTTGGAAAGAGTGAAGCGATGGCGTCACGGAGCAGTTCCGCGATGCCACCGCCCGCTTTAAATATCCTTTAATCTCCTTTAAAGGAGTTTAAAGGAGATTAGAATCTCCAATTGAATCTCCTTTAAAGGAGATTCAATTGCTAGCTATTTACAGTTCCATGTCCTGCTCCAGGAATTTGAGCGACATTCTCAACAAGATCACCTCGGCTGCTCCAACGCCTCAATTAAAAACTAAGGGTCCGCTTTATCAGCCACACGCTGCATTTTGTTCGCCTGTTCTATCTTCCTTTTAATACCCCCCCCCCCCTTCTCGGTTCATCGTACCAAGGGATTCACCACCGCTTCGGCCAGTCGACAAAGGGGTCCCGACACATCGACAGCTGAGAACAAATAGTCTAAGTGTTAACCAGAAAGAAAGAAACGTCTTCCTACTACCCCCCCCCCCCTTCCGAGGCCGGGGCAAGGAGAGAGAGAGAGAGCTTAGGAACATGTGTGAGTTACAATGGGATATGTGGAGGGAGGGGGGAAGAGAAGCGATGCTTACATGCACACGTTAATTCACAGAACGACACGCAGTTCAAGGCGTTACAACATGCGAGTATATAGTCTTATTATCAAGTTCCCGTTGTATGGTAAGCCGACGAGCGATTTGGTCGTTGCTCAAGTACAGTGGCCGAATGGACTCAGGACGATCGTCCACTCATCCCCACGTGTGCAAATGGTACTGTCTCTGCTAATAAAACTTCATCTGTTCACTTTGATATCGCAGACATCAAACGCAGTACTATCGCACGTTGAAAATCCGCAACTCACGCAACCGCAGAACGAAGAAAAAAGCGGAAAAAAATTTAATCGTGCATCCGTGGCCGATACGGACGAGACGAGTCATGTTAGAGCAGTAAGGATGGAGGTCAAAGGTGCAGTGATGTGTTCGTGTACGCGCTTCAGTGATCTTTACGTTTTGGTCTCTCCCACTATGCTAACCCGGCTGTTTGTGTAGCAGAATGTGAAGCTACCTCTCGATGTTTGTATCAGGAAATAAAATTACAACGCAGTCATGCTGGTGGCGCTGTAATCAAGAGATCTCTAAATACAAGTAACTTTATAGCTATTTAATTTCAATTGATAGCACATTTACCACGTCAACTAATCATGAGGCTTGTGCGAACGTCTAACTCCGCACAAAGAGCAAGAGTATATATAGTATAGCAGCCTTGAGGTGCAATAAGCAGCCCTTCTTCGATAAAACTTTCCTTACACATAGACTGAATAACACCGAGCAAAGCTGCGACTCCTTCAAGTGGAGACGCTGTAATCTGTAAAGCCCTGAAATTTAGTGTTTTATATCTTGTTTATGTTAACTACGACTTCATAATAACAGGTATACGTATGCAATAGAGCAGGTACTGAAGTCCCTATAGAGTTTCCTATAATTACACCAGAGGGAACTCTGGCGCTAGCGTCTATGGGAACTGAAACGCACGGTGCTTCAGCGAGCAAGGGAATAATAAGAAGTACACAAATTTGTCTAGTTTTCGTACTTTTGGCTCCATTTGGCTTCGCGTGGCTTGGAACTGCTTTGTCACGAGACGAAAGTCGGCAAATGTTCAGCAGTTGCCCTTCACTACCTTAGCCTTTAGGCTCACCAACTCAAAACGCATGACGTTCACAACTGTCCGTTCTTTTATTCCAAATAAAACAAAAACACAACAATAAATAAAGCTACAGTTGCGTTCAAAGCCCACAAACACGCAGACTAGGCAAAATTCGTTCCCATGGTGGTTGAATTGCAGCGCCGGATTCCCCTCTAGTTAAATTTAAGACACTCTATGCTGAAGACCTCCATGTGGACGCTGTATTTCTCAATCAAGAGGAAGTGACCTTGCTTGTGAAGGCGACTCCCACATGAGGGCAGACGGTGGTACATGGCAGAATATTTCTGCAAGAGGCCTTCGAACTACGAGTAACAGTTAAGGAAAAGTCCAATATCACGAAGGAAACGTGGCTGCCGTTCAAATCCTGAATAATGAGAAGCACAATTTTTTATAGAGAATGGCCTTTTTTGGATGCCCGATCGAGTATTACTAAATCCAGGTTACCTCAGACAGATCCGGGCTAAGTGTCTGTCGTACAACATGCACGCGTATTCTCCAAATATAGCAATGAGTGGGACAGCATTTCTTTTATTGTGCTGCCAAAGTAATATAGAATGAACGTAAAATAAATGAAATTGGTGAAATAAATGAAAATAAAGAAACGGTGTGGAAAACATAAAATACCAAGAAATTATAAGAGAAAAGACGGCTTATTACCTGAGCATAACAAATGCTTAGCCGTATATAATGAGAGTAGATTGCTGGCTGAGTAGGCTTCAGCAGTGTTGGATGCAGATCAAGAATACATGCGTCATTCGTAACATCAAAGCACAGCAAAACCACGTTGATGCATTTATATTTTCAGAATATCCCACCAGTGACGAAAAACAATGAACTGAAATAGGAAATTTATCCCTTCATTGCTCAACCGCACTATTCACACTCTTCCATAAACTTGATTTCCACCCATAACTTCAGGGCAACTTTTTTTCATGTCCCACATACTGCACTCCCTTGTTAGAATCATACTTTAAAAATAAAACTTGTAGTTTTGCAAATACATTCAATGTTGCCAAGTTCTATTTCTCAAGTTTTGTTATCACCCCAAAACACTACACAATTCTCAGCGCAAACCGCGCCTGCAGATTTCTAGAAGCTTCCGTACTTTAGTAGATCGTTTCGATAAGATCACGCCCACTCTGTGAACTGTACAGATTATTCTGGAACCTACGCCACCGCCAGCGATAACGCTAGAACATTCGATGGCAAGAGTATAAATGCCGACATGCCGACACACTTCGCCGCTTGTGAGTAGTTGATCGACGGCCGACGCTCCGTTCGCCGCTATCAGTCCAAGACTGCTACTGTAATCGGATTTTCCGTTTACTGGGCACAGGTTCGCCCAAATAAACAGTTAAATTCCAACACAAAGTCTTCTGTCTTCGGCCACGTCACGGCCCCGTGACATCTGGTGGAGGTGCTGCTTCTTTGATGTTCCGGACGCCCCCTTCAAGCCGCGACCCCAGCCCAAGCGGCAAAGAAGACACGGACGCTAACCCTGAACAGCGAACAATTGCCGCCGACAGAAGGGACTACAACCAGAGTACGGGCCCCTTCCTGAAGCAGCAAGGCAGGCCCGGATCCCGACATCAACTACTGCAACCATGACCGCCCCTGTGCAGCCTGCACCACTCCTGCTCCGACAACCCAAAGAGCCACCAACTTTCGGCGGTTCGCCACTGGAAGACCCGGAAAGCTGGATCGAAAGATTCGACCGCGTCGCCGCCATCAATTACTGGACAGACGATGACAAGCTCCGGCATGTGTATTTCGCCTAAGAAGATGCTGCTCGGACCTGGTTCGAGATTCAAGAGCGAAGCTTTACAACGTGGACGTCTTTCGCGCCAAGTTCCTCACCACTTTCGCAAGTGTGGTGCGCAAGGAGAAGGCCGCAGCTCTTCTCGAAACCCGCATGCAGATGCCAAACGAAAGCGTGGCGCTATTCACGGAAGACATGATAAAACTTTTCCGCCACGCTGACTCCGACATGTCCGAGAAGAAGAAGGTCCGTCTGCTCATGCGAGGAGTAAAGCAGGAACTCTTCGCCAGGCTGATCAGAAACCCGCCAAAGACGGTCGCCGAATTCATTTCAGAAGCATCTACGATAGAAAAGACGCTCGAGATGCGCACGCGGCAATATAACCGTAGCTTCTCGTCTACAAGGTACGCCGGCATTCAAGGGCTTGGAACCACTGACTTGCGCGAGACGATCCGAGCGATCGTGCAAGAAGAGCTGCGAAAATTACTTCCTTCAGCGCAGCCTCCCCTGGAATCCATCGCGGACGTCGTACGCCAGGAGATCCAGCAATCGCTGGGCGTTCCTCAGTCTCAAGAGCCTCAGCTTCAAGCCATGAGCTATGCGGCTGCAGCCCACCGCCACGCCCCTCCTGCACGCGCACGCCAAAACGCTGCCCCATCGCACTTCCGTAGCCAGACGCCACCGCCGCCACCACCCCCACCGACGTCCTACCGTTCGCCAGCGGCCCAGCGCAGTGCGCCGAAGAAGACTGACGTCTGGCGCACCCCTGACCACCGCCCGCTCTGCTACCACTGCGGCGAGGCCGGACACACATACCGCCGTTGCCAGTACCGACAGATGGGACTGCGTGGCTTCACCATCAATGCACCGCATCCACAGTCAGGAGAACGGCCACGTGACATCCCCAGGAACACGCTTTCCAGGAGCTTAAGCATCGCCTCCAGAGGCCTCCGTTACTTGCCCATTTCGACGCATTCACCGAGACAGAAATACACACTGACGCAAGCAGCGTAGGTCTTGGCGCCGTTTTTGTGCAGAGGGCTGACGGACTTGAAAAGGTTATTAGTTACGCCAGCCGATCGCTATCCAAAGCAGAAGCCAATTATTCTACAACAGAAAAGGAGTGCCTCGCCATCATCTGGGTTACGTCGAAATTTCACCCCTACCTCTACGGCAGGCCCTGCACTGTTGTGAGCGACCACCACGTCTTGTGTTGGCTAGCCACCTTGAAGGACCCTTCAGATCGCCTCGAACGATGGAGCCTGAGACTTCAAGAATATCACATTACCGTCGTTTACAAGTCCGGCAAGAAACACTCCAACGCCGATTGTCTCTCTCGCGCGCCTGTCGAACAACCACCACCCGACGACCCGGATGACGACTACTTCTTGTGAACGATAACTACCGACGACTTCGCTGAACGACAACGGGCCGACCCGGAACTTAAGGCCCTAATAGAATACCTCGAAGGCCGGACCGCGGAAGTCCCGAAGGTGTTCAAGCGCGCACTTGCGTCGTTCTTCCTGCGAAACGGTCTTCTACAAAAGAAAAACTTTTCACCGTTTCCAGCTAAGTACCTCCTTGTGGTGCCTTCAGCTCTGCGACCAGAACTCCTGCAGGCCCTGCACGACGATCCGACAGCAGGGCACCTCGGTGTTTCTCGCACGCTCGCGAGGATACAAGAAAGGTACTATTGGCCACGTCTTACCGCCGACGTCACTCGTTATGTGAGGACATGCCGGGACTGTCAGCGACGCAAGACACCGCCGACAAGGCCAGCGGGACTTCTGCAGCCAATTGATCCACCTTGCCGACCTTTCCAGCAGATTGGTATGGACCTACTGGGGCCGTTCCCGACGTCGGCTTTCGGAAACAAGTGGATCGTGGTAGCTACCGACTACCTCACCCGCTACGCCGAGACAAAAGCCCTGCCAAAAGGCAGTGCATCCGAGGTAGCTAAGTTCTTCGTCGAAAATATCGTCCTACGTCACGGCTCCCCGGAGGTCCTCATCACCGACAGAGGAACGGCATTTACTGCCGACTTAACTCAAGCGATCTTGGCATACAGCCACACAAACAACCACCGGACGACAGCGTACCACCCACAGACCAACGGCCTCCCCGAGCGGCTAAACAAGACGATCGCCGACATGCTGGCAATGTACGTCGATGTCGAACACAAGACGTGGGACGCCATTTTTCCGTACGTGACCTTCCCATACAACACGGCGGTGCAGGAAACGACGCAGATATCTCCATACAAATTGGTCTATGGAAGGAGCCCGGCAACGATGCTCGATGCCATATTACCCAACGTCACCGACGAAGAAAACCTCGATGTGAGTGAGTACCTTCAACGCGCCGAAGAAGCCCGACAACTCGCGCGTCTGCGTATCAAGAATCAACAGACGACCGACAGCCGCCGTTACAATCTTCGACGACGCTTCGTGGAATACCAGCCCGGTGAACGTGTTTGGGTGTGGACGCCGATACGCCGACTTGGACTAAGTGAAAAGCTTCTGCGACGGTACTTCGGACCGTACAGGGTGGTTCGACGTCTCGGCCCACTTGATTACGAGGTTGTCCCCGACGGCATCACGAACTCTCAACGACGCCTATCGCGACCTGAAGTCGTCCATGTCGCGCGCCTCAAGCCGTTTCATGCGCGTGAACAAACTGAAACAGTGTTTTTTTTTATTATTATTGTATCGTATTTTATTCATTGTACTTTCTTGCATTATTGTTGTACTTTCATCTTAGTTAAAGCATCGGGACGATGCCTTTTTCAGAGGGGGGAAATGCCACGTTCTATTTCTCAAGTTTTGTTATCGACCCAAAACACTACACAATTCTCAGCGCAAACCGCGCCTGCAGTTTTCGAGAAGCTTCCGGACTTTAGTAGATCATTTCGATAAGATCACGCCCACTCTGCGAACTGTACAGATTATTCTGGAATCTACGCCACCGCCAGCGATAACGCTAGAACACTCGATGGCAAGAGTATAAATGCCGAGGCACATCGCCGCTTGTGAGTAGTTGATCGACGGCCGACGCTTCGTTCGCCGCTATCAGTCCAAGACTGCTACTGTTATCGGATTTTCCGTTTAGCGGGTACAGGTTCGCCCAAATAAACAGTTGAATCCCAACATAAAGTCTCCTGTCTTCGGCCACAACACGACCCCGTGACAATATTTAATACCGGGAACATTAACTGAATGTACTAACCTGCCTTCCCTCATTTATACTCAAATTGAGTAACGTAAACTTCAGGAGCATATTTATAGATATCTCATGTCCAAACAGTTCGAACGCAGTGTACGTTAGTGTGTGCATTTGTGAGTGAGTGTTGAGTATATATGCTGCCTCTTTCCCTATATATTACCCCATTTGCTAAATAAATAAATAAATAAATAAATAAATAAATAAATGTAACGCTTACGAAGACCAACTACCTACGCTTCGGAACACAGATAACGGCTGTCTGCCTGTGTACATAGTTTTCTCTTTTTCCATGTCTTTCACGCTGCTTTACTTTTACGCCGCTTCTATTATAGAACTACGTATGCTAATACAGGGGCGGATGCATGATCTTTCCTTATGGTGGACGAGATGGCCGGTTGGGTCAGCTTATATGAAGCCCAATAAATACCCGATACATAAAGCTGAGAATGGGGCGCCAACATCAATACTCAGCTTGTACGCTAAAAAATTAGTTGGGGGAGAGGGAGAACATTCTCACCCCCTCTTCTTCTCTATAGATCCGCCGATGGCCCAAATTTTTATTCTTGGCATGAAATAAAAGGTAACCCATCGTGAATGTCGTCATTATACGAAAACATGCTGTCAAAATGGCGGCTTTTATGGCTCCAAAGTTCCTCGTGCCTGTAACAACCTGGTAAGGCGAGAAAATTGCCGCAGACAGTTCTCGAAATCTATAGCCATACTAGTTCACGTGGGACTTAATTTCCAGGGATGGCTTCGAATATTTCACTGAGCCTAACATGTGGAAATTTGTGTATCTTTGCAGGTGGCCCAAGGCCGGATTGGCGCTAACACTGAGCATGGTATTGGCGTGCACCGTGTACATCGCCCTGCAGACTCTATACAGCGACCTCTATCCCGTTACAATATACTTCGCGGAAGACGTCATGTACGTTTCTGCGGCCCGACCCTGTTCAAATGTGTTCGCATGCAGTCAAAGATTCTCATACGTGTTCCGTACTGTCTCTGTGCCATAGACGTACGTATATTCAGTGCAAACACTACGTCATTTCTTTGGGGAAACAGCTCTGAAAATATCCACACGTTAAGTCGTTCCATTGCATATAGTACACGAAATTTCATAATGAGTACTCTATTAATAAAGTGTTGCGTATGTATTTAGTTGTCTATATTTCCCTGCTAGTTCAACTTGCACTCCTAACGTGCGCCGTGTACATAGCCCTGCTGACTAAGAACAATAGAGTCATTATACCATCAGTGATGCGAAACGCATTTCGATATAGAGCACGAATACAGTACTGTATTCGTGTTCCATATCGTATACTGCATTTGTTCTCAGTCATGACCTTGTAAGCAATAACAAGCTGTCTGCTACCGCAAGGTTGCTAAAGTTTGTGATTTTCGACATGTTGCTCTGAGCACGGCCGCGCTGTTTGGAACGCCATACTTTTATGGCCTGTTCTATCGCCGCGTTCGCTCTCCGCCGCCACGGACGAGAGCGCGCTCGACCCGTCTCCGCTTATACTTGGCGTGTACTTATCAACACAGCAATCCAGCGGAGCTAGCCATTTATTTAGTAGTTAAATCGAATAATCGATAAATCTAATAGACGGTTTTACTGCGTGTCACTGCTTTGTATACGCGCTGCCCCGCCGCGGTGGTCTAGTGGCTAAGATACTCGGCTGCTGACTCGCAGGTTGCGGGATCCAATTCCGGCTGCGGTGGCTGCATTTCCGATGGAGGCGGAAATGCTGTAGGCCCGTGTGCTCAGATTTGGGTGCACGTTAAAGAACCCCAGGTGGTCGAAATTTCCGCAGCCCTCCATTACGGCGTCTCTCATAATCATATGGTGGTTTTGAGACGTTAAACTTAACATATCAAATCATGCTTTGTATACGCACGAAGGACCGTACGAAACATACCTTGTGTATTTGTGTAAAAGTAGACAACGGACAGTGGCTGTATTACATTCTTTTCGCGGTCTTCTTTGCTTATAGTAAATAAGTTCAAGTACATTCGATCAGGTGGAACATATATCGCAATTATATTGTTTTGGTCAAATCAGATTTTTTTTTGCGAAGTTGGCGAGCAAGGTCTTCTGAAAAAAACGTAGAATAATCTTTGCAATGCGTAGTTAGTGTCCTTGCACAGCTGCTGTACTCTACAAATCGGTTTGGCACGTATGCGTAAGTCACCAAATAAGAAAGGCAGAATACTTGCTGCGGGCCAGGCTAGAAAATCTGTTTCGCGTAGCCACTTCATAGCACACTCAGCAAGTTTCTAGATTATTAACACCTGTAATCAGTGCAGGTGCACGCAGAAGACTCGAAGGTCGAGGATTCCCCCCCACTAACAGTTAGCAGAAGTTATTCGCGCTATATAATACACATCTCTCATATTCGAGGGCTTTCGATCAAGATCGGCCCAACTGTATACTGAAAATAAAAGTCATTTTAAGTTAACGTTAACCTATCGGTGAAACAAAGTGCACTAATTATATCTAAGTGTTACTCGCTCTATTTGTAGCAACCAAACTATAATCATCAAACGATAACAATCAAATATCAGAAGTCATGATAAATTAAAAGCCTTCGAAGCTAAGACCAATTAAACACCAACATGTCTTATAAAGTATCAAAAGTCAAAACAATACCTTCAACCACGCTGCCTATGGCGGTGGGCTCCGGATGAACTAGGTTCATAACAGTTTTCTATTATGCAACCTAATTTTCGTACTGCAAAATTTTTGCCCTCTGCCTCCGTCAAAATGTGGCCGCCGCATCTGGTAATCGAAGTGCCCTCTCTTTGATTGAACTGAAAGTTTAAATAGCCGCTGGCGGTCAGTTTTAATAGTTAGTGCGAGAAAAGTTACTTCGGCCACGTTTTTGGATCATTCGGGCTCATTGCGGCATAGTGTAAGTAATGCACATTATATCAAAATAAACAAGATCATATATATATATATATATATATATATATATGGAGGGGGGGTTCTCGTGCTTTTGCCCATTTGCTTCCCATATAACGCCCTGTCTGTTTCGCTCCTCTCGGTTTTTCCTGGGTGTAGTGTACGAACTTTACTCACGCTGGGGCATGTTTAGTCCTACACCTTTCCAATGGGATGTCAAGGCCACGAAAATTTCCTTTTTCACCTTAAGTTCCCGGTCCCTGTATGTTACACTTCACTGTTGCCCTATCCGGTACGCGTATACCTATTGGTGCAGCCCAATGTTTCGCCACAGGTCGCCCCAGTGAGCGGCAACAACGTCTAAACCACAGTTCTCGTCCGGTCATGCAGGAAGTCTCGACGCACGCACACGGAAGTGTTCAAGCGGCCCTTCTCGCACGCGGGCGCCTTCTCGCTGGGCCTGCTGCTGGCCTACCTGCTGCGCTCCTCCGGGCGTCTCGGCCGGGAAGCCAAGAGATCCCCGTGGTGGAACGGCGGGGCGTGGCGCGCCGCCGGCTGGGCTGCGGCCTCGGGCTGCGGCTTCGCCGTCCTCCTGGGGGTCGAGCAGTGGCACAAGGGCCTGCTGCCTGGACCGGCGGTGGCGGCCCTCTACGCGTCTCTGCACAAGACAGCCTGGGGACTGCTCGTCGCCTGGGTCGCCTACGTCGTGTGCACCGACCGAAAGGGTAGGCCGCGACATGCACGCGTTTCCTCTGCCCGTTCATGTTGAGTGTATTAAAACGAGTGCATTATGTCTGCAGTACGACTAAACTCGAAATTATTTGAAAATACTGAAAAAGTATCTCACGCTACCACTTGAGTCGGGAAGACACGGTGTCAACCCAGGAGTCCGTTTCCCTGTGGGCACCCGCTGACAATGCAGGGATTTTTGAAAGAAATATACTAATGCAGGGACATCACCCGATTGTTTTGAAACCAAGCAATCTTAATCTTCAAAATGCATTTTTTTTTCATATGCTTTAACATCTGACCAACGTTGCCCTTTGTGAAGTCTACTATTTATCATTCATGACCGCAATGCGCACTCAAGAGTAGCAACAATCCAGGGCTTTACTGTTGTGCTTATCAATCAGCAAAAATAAATATTGATTGCTTTTCATTTACGCCGTGCTTGAGGTTATATGATAGGTAAGTTGCGACACCGAGCACCATTGCGTAAAAATATTCCCTTCGCCAACTACTAAGTTAGACAATAGCTGCCACTGAATTACGGCAAGCTGTGTTCACCTTTCACTTGCAAGCAATGCAACGAAGCAAACTACTCTAAGTGGACGCTTTCTTTTTTAAAAAGACTGAAGCGAGGTCGGTTGATTTCATTGAGCTACAGAAAGAATTAACAACGACATTCACATGCACAATGTTCTCCTGATAAAACTTCGACCTATTCGTTAAAGGAGTGTTCGATGTTGACTAGCTTCACCACTCAGCCTAAGAATTGAACAACCGCAAACAGCAATCAAAGTAACAAAATAAGTTGGTAGCTAATTAACAAGCACTTGCAGTCACTCCCCGCTTTCGCAGCACACACACACACTTGTATTTGTCCATATGAAAAATGCCCTTAGAAATGACAAATTAAAAAGAAAAGTCGCAGTTTAGTCACACGGGCGAAGCACTGAATGCGATAGCAAAAAAAAAAGCCCCGCCAATAACAGAGAGCTGAGCTAGCTGGTAAGTATTCATGATTGATAGGTTTTTGTTAGTCGTTAAGTATTTAGTTTAGCGTGTGAATACAACGAAGTCGAATGTTATACGAATTATAAATCACCAGGCAGTACAGTCGGAGCGAAAGCTGGAAGAGCGGCCTTTCTGAGCCTTTTTTTAACACTCTTTGGGGTAACTGCTACAAGCACCTATGCTGGGTACACACTGCGCCATAAATCACCATATATTTTCTGTACTAGAGAGTGACTTGTTCTTGTTCTTGTTTACCCTCCCTTGTGGCTCATACCCACTGTGGGGTATTACTCAATAATTGTGTGGTCTTATAAAATCTTATTCAAAATGGACCCCCGCCCACACAGATCCTCCACTCGCGGGCAACGCGACTGCCCATGCCGCGGCTCCTTGCACGCATACAGAGCTGTGGCGCCTGCCGGTAGCCCCAATGTCTCGCACGCATCGAGAACAGTGCAGGAGCGGACGGGGGAGGGGGGGGGGGAATCGCATGACAACCTTCAAATACATCACCCAACAGTCTAGACTGACCAGATGCAAATATCCACCACCACACGAAAAACTAAACAAGAAACAGCAGGTTGCCTGGAGACAATTACAGGCTCGCACGTGCACGAACCCAGTGATTCTATGCCTCTGTTATCCAGACATTTATATATCCGACGACTGTAAAGCGTGTGCAGCAAGAGTGACGCTGCTGCACATGTTGTGGGAGTGCACCGGTAGCATGCACTAGTTCCCTATGAACCGGGTAGACATGGCAGTCTCGAACCGCGAGGTGCGTTGGGAGGCGGCTCTGTTCAGCCGTGACGTCGACGATCAACTGTGGGCCGTCCGGCACGCCCACGAAGCCGCCCGCGCCCAAGGATTCGAGGCCGTCACCTGGGCTGGGGGGCTTGTAGCCCCACTCCGATAAATACCACCGGACATTCTCAATAAAGTTTTTACTCACTCACTCAATTTTACAGTAAAGCAAGATATAAAATGAAAATGTTACAAATTTGAGAACGAAATTTTGATGTTCACTCAAATGCACCTACTATAAAGCTTTTTATTAGTAATAGATAATAACCTAGATCAAAAGTGGAATTCCGAAAAGATAAGAAAAGTTAGACGTGTGTCGACACCGGAGGATAATGGTATAGATTAGTTTGTTAGTCGTGTGGTTTCATTCAGAAAACTTCGCATTGTCACGCAAACTCTCGTACTGGAAAACCTATAAATAGAGGCTCCAAAAGACAGAATCACGGGCATATATAAAATTTATACCAATAGCACGTAAAGGACTTTCAAACTTGGATCTACGAGTTATACTATGACAACCTTCGTCATTCTTCGGGGAAGCGTGGTACCCGCAACAAACTTGCAAGGACTTTTGTGCATTTTTGATGCTGTGGCTGACGACGATGAATAATTACGCCTGAAGCTTTTGTAATGAGTGAGGATTCGACGATCTACTCGTTACGCGATTGGCATTGTGTGACGCCTGGTTGGTCCTTTGCTATTTTAAAACGCTTCATTACAAATATTGACGCGATTCCTTTCCCGACATGAAGCCTGCCTAAATTCAGTTTGAAACGGAGTTTCGAGCATCGGCGTAGCGCAGTGGTAGGGTTCTGGGTTGACAAGCAAGGAACCCGGGTTTGAATTCCATTGAGTCCTTATTCATATTCCGGCTGTGGCGGCTGCATTTCCGATGGAGGCGGAAATGTTGTAGGCCCGTGTGCTCAGATTTGGGTGCACGTTAAAGCACCCCAGATGGTCGAAATTTCCGGAGCCCTCCACTACGGCGTCTCTCATAATCATCTAGTGGTTTTGGGACGTTAAACCACAATCAATCAATCAATCAATCAATCAGTCATTGAGTCCTTATAGCGTAACTTATTTACTTAGTTTTCTTTTAATTTCTTGCGATAGTGTTTACAGACACCGGCGGCGGACAACTATGATGCCAAAAATGACCCTTGTGATCTCGTAACGGCTTTCGCTGTAATAATGTTAGCAGCTAACTCCGTTAGGGTCCGATCTGAGATTACTCTACAAACCTCTGGCGTAAGGGAATGCGGCCGCGCCAGCGAGCGAAGCATTTTCGGTGCATTGATTGCTTCAACCTGAAGTAAATGGTGAGAGAACATCAAGCAAGTGTCGTCTGCTTATCCCCACTACAGAGATGCATGGTGCGCTCGGCCGCGGGGGTGACCACAGCTTGTGTGCCAAGGAGCTCGTTTCCTCCCGGTGCCACGACTCCCGCTCTCCTATTCTTCGGCGCGAATAAGGATGGGTGGGCGGTGCGTTTTGTATCTGCTTGAGGAGCAATCGACGGCAGTTCTCGCATGCCGTGCGATCTTATCGCATGAGCCCTACTGGCCTTTCGTGCAACGAGTTGGTTGCCACGTTTCATTTATGCTTGAACCGCGTTCATCGGCAGCGCCCGCGCGCTTTCACAAACACATAGGGCGCGTGGGGCGACGTTGTTCTGCACTTCATATGAAACGAGACGGCAACAACCCGGCCAGATTTCCCATATAACTGGCAGTAAAATGACCGTGGACCAAGCCACTGCCAAGGTCTTGAGGCTGTTTCCTACAGTGTTTTTTTTTTATATAAAAAGTTGAATAGACCACTTCAATTCCCGCCCCGCCGCGGTGGTCTAGTAGCTAAGGTACTCGGCTGCTGACCTGCAGGTCGCGGGCTCGAATCCCGGCTGCGGTGGCTGCATTTCCGATGGAGGCGGAAATGCTGTCGGCCCGTGTGCTCAGATTTTGGTGCACGTTAAAGAACCCCAGGTGGTCGAAATTTGCGGAGCCCAGCACTACGGCGTCTCTCATAATCATATCGTGGTTTGGGGACGTTAAACCCCAGATATCAATCAACCTCGATTCGAGCCCATCTGAACGGGGCCGAGAATAGTGTTATTATTTCAGGAATTCCCAGTATATAACTGCATCGCAATTATAAAGTTGGGGGACCCTTAATATTCACCTTTATTACCTGAACGCGATAGCGATATCCTAGCTGTCCTTAGTGCGTCCTTCTATGTGCATATATTTTTTTATTCTACGTTATTACTCGAGAAGTTTGAATTGCCGATTGCTACAATGTTACTGATAAAGTTGAAAGTGGCTTGTGTCAGTGAAGCTTTCGCATATGGCTGCATTCTCTGTAATGGGTAACCTGCTTTAAACCACGAGCAATAATGCACGTGAAATGTTTTCTACCTTGCTATATGCGCCCTCTACGTGGTCTTAAGTTAATACGTGCAGTGACGTGCGTGCATTCTGTACTGGGTGGCCTGCTTTAAACAACGAAGTCGTTATGAAAAATCGCACGTTCTGACGCTCGATGGCAATGTGTACTTGTACCACGCAACATCACTGCTATATTACATGTTATATTGATAAGCCTGTATACAGGAAGTGTGTGTTTGTGAAGCATGAACGTTTTGTTTAACTGCATTTGCAAGCAGCTAAAGAAAGTTTTTTCACTCAAATTCCAAGCAGACACGTGACGGTGTGGTAGAATAGCTGCTTGACACGCCAAATGGCCTGAGTTCGATACTCATTCAAACAGGATTTTTTTATTATTTTTAATTTTATTTGCGTCTTTCTCAATTTCGGTCACAGATAAGATTATCTTTCGCTCACAACTAACAACGCCGACACCAAAATTTCAGCGAAAAGAGCTCTTTAACGCTGCCCCGTTAAAATATCAAATGTACCCGTAATTAGATATGCACACGCGATGCCAAAAGTGCTGTCTTATACCGCAATAGCTACTGACCAAGACAGGACGAAAGCGTGCACGCATTCCGTACACTTAAAACGTTTCTCCTGCTTTCTGCTATTCTATCAGGGGAGCACACACATAATTAACTATCTTACACGTAAGACGAATTTGTCTGCCTTCACTGGCTATCTTGCAATCTGCTCAAAGGCATACAAATAGTCGCTTTATAGAATGCACGAGCGCCAAGTGTGCCCTCTTTCCCGAGTCGATTAAATGGAGACAAGGTGAGCCAGTTACCACAAATTGTTGCATAGTCATTTAATTGAAGTAAAAGAAAGATTGCAACAATCTACACAAAATTTTAATGTCAGGGAATAAGCGAACACTTTTAAAGCTACTGTTCAATTTATTAAAGAAATAATGGGCCAAATAATGGCGTTAAATGGTGTTACTTCCTTGGTCAATTCCTTAGCGCATCTGCAGCTGTATCCTGGGTCGCTATACATATAAGCATATTCGTCGTTTGCTTGTTAGCTAAAGTAGTGGAAGTGAGTAACAGGATGTCGTTCACCTCTTCCACTTCCGGTGCTGCAACCAACCGAGGATGAAGGAAGTGGCAGCTGAGGAGGCAAAGCTCGTGGCCTTCCATAGCAGTCCCCCGCTGCATGACCCAAATCTGCACGGCAGCGCATGCTTCTCAAAATGCCATTATATTTGCGATTAAACAAGAAACGCGGCCACAACGTGGTGACGCGTGAGCACGCACTTCGCACAGGCACCTTCGCATGAGCGATGAATGACCAACTATTGCCGATCACCAAGAATATGCGCGATATATCCATAAAAAATCTGTTATGAAACCATACCTACGACAAAGTTAAGCGGAACATGACTGAAAGCTTCCCCTGGTTGTGCCACATATCTCCCTCTGCAAGCAAGCGTATATATACAATGTGCTGCAACTATCATGAGAGCCGCATCGGGTCACGCAGGCATTCCCGCTCGGTTTCTGTCGTGGGGTCCGTTCGTGGCACTGAGCCGGCTGTCATTCAGCGCCTACCTGCTGCACATCCTGGTGTTGTTCGTGCGTTTTGGAAGCATCCGGGAACGCCTGTACAGCAGCCACTTCATACAGGTTAGTATATCGCTACTTCTCGTGACCGCTTGCGCTTTGGGCAGCTGCGCCCCACCCCCAGTTCACATTAAATGCTACCACCCTCTTTTTTTCTCTACCTGTGTTCAACGCCAAAAAGTGTTTTCAGAAACCCAATACCTCCATAAAGCACAGACTTCAGACGTGTCGTGCGTGCGCGCCATCGGCCAGTCATAACGCAGACAGGAGCCCTGCGGGCACATCTGGTTCGGCTGAAAAATGAAAACATGATGCGATAGCTTTGCAGCATTCGCGAGCTTCGCAATAGCTCATGGATTACTGCACATCAATTCATAAGAAACATATATTTTAAAAGTAGTAAACTTGACTTGCGTGTCACCGACGCTTGACTTAGACATATTATCGGCCCAAAGTGCAAGAAGGCTCAAGACAAAATGATGAAAACTCAAGTATTGAAAAAGCATGTTTGCAATACCCAAGCATGATAATACTACTTAACCAATGCCCAGCGAGAGCCATGGACTACTTTATGTTGAAATGGAAGCAAGGCTATAGTCACAGAGCGAAGCTTTGGTGTCTAGGCAAGGTGCACACAAGTACAGTGCCATCCACTCTCAGAGTAAACACTGCGCATCATGGCCGTGTAAAATCTTTAGTAACTTTGTGACCGTGCTCCGCGCAGCAGGTGCACCCGGCGTGGCCCCGCATAGAAAAATGACGATGCATGCGCAGAGGTACCCACGGGAGATACTCCGAGTCGTTTGCTACAGTGTTGAAGCGTGCTGCTCATGCTTGGCTCTTGTGCAGCAAGAGCGGCGCCCTCGTGTGCATCTGCGCCACTGCAATTACATGCGCGACCACGCTGGATGCAATGGCACTCCGAGGAGCGTGCTTCGCTGAGCCGTGTTCACCTATACGAGTGGACGGCGCTGTATTCATTCTCGTCATTGGTTGAAGCTGGAGAAGGGAATATATATATATATATATATATATATATATATATATATATATATATATATATATATATATATATATATATATATATATATATATAATATACGTGTTATTTGTAACAGTAAACTAAGACACAATACAATACACCTTGATTAACTTCACGTACCTATGAGATAAGTTTTCTACAGCCATGCCGTACTTTGTATCCTATTCTTGGCCCTTTCCTTGGCACTGGCGACGTCGGAGGAGGATGGAGAGATAACTCCACGCCCACCCCCCCCCCCCCAAAAAAAAAAAATCTTGATTTAGATGCAAACGCATGCACGATACATGAAGTAGGATGACCTCTCATCTCCCCCCTTCCCCCCCCCCCGAAAAGAATATTTCAGCCCACGCTACTGGTCCCCGTGCTAGATAAATGAATACTGCTGTACTGGTCAGTACTAGAATGTGGGTTCCGGAGCATACGTAGCATCCATCCGCTAGGCCACATTCACGGGCTCAATAATGGGAGATTCAGCGTTAGCAAACATCTGCGCACCACTGATGAAATCTCAGCGGCCACAAAAAATGTGGGTAATTTGCAGCCGCACCACTAGATTGCTCAATATATACAGTAGGGTGTGTGAGCGAGGAGTCCATGCAGCTTCAGTACGGCCACACATGAAGAGTTTCGGGGATGCCTTTTTCAAGTCACGTTGGCCTTTAAACTGGATCCCGAGATATGAAAACATTCAGGGAATCTTTACCAATACTCTCTGTATGATAGATCTCCCATCGCTAATCACGCATGCATCATTACTTCAGATGTAATCAGAAACAATTAGCATCCCCAAGGGATAGCTTTCTCTTGGGCCTTTACCTACAGTATTGTAGGTAAAAATATGAAACTTATGCAAATGTCAGAAACAATGACTCAGACACTGAAAGCATTGTCAAACTATGAAGAACAGCTCGGTGTAATAATGTTTACAGAAGCTCCACCGTTGTAGGTTTCCCTTCATTACTCCAGAATGTTGTCCATGAGTATATAGCTCACTCAGCATCACCCATCTTTTATTGCGATAGCAATAATATGGACATTCTCATCTGGATTTTGCCGCTGGCGTCGACGTCGCCGACACTCACCGTGTATGTATACGTATCTATATATATGAAAACACAAGAAAGATAATCTAGAAAAAGACTGCGCCACGCGGAATAGAACATGGGACTTCTGAATTGTGATTGCGAGGCGTTAGCCACTGAGCCACGAAGGAGCACTTCCTTCAATGTTCAAGCGGCAAGCTATTTATATCTGCCACTTACCACTGGTGACGGGCATCTCGGCGGGAACCATTGCGTTTTCAGCATTACCGAAAAGATGGCGCAATGAGCGCGCGTCGCCACATCAGCACGGCGTGGCGGCGCACGTTCACATCTCCCACGCGTACGTTGTCCTGCGAAGAGGGGGCAGGGTGGACGCTTGCGCGTGCGCTTATCTCACGGTGGGGACAATCATACGTCTTGGATGGCCTTGGGCTTTCATTGGAACGATTCTGTTGTAGTTACCGGGCGCACAATGGTCACTGCAATCGTTTCACAGTCTCCGTTTGCCAAAAGGGCGTAATTGTCAGACACAGCGAAGTAACAATTTAGACGCTCATTCGCGTTCATCTGTACCTGTGTGTTCGTCTCGTGCGTCACTTGCGCGTGAGAAACGTTGGGCACGTTTCAATCTGTTTGGCATTTTTGCATGTGATCCTTCAATTTGTTGCTATCGCGTTCATTGCTTCGCCCTTGCGTCAAAGCTGTGAATTATTTTTCGCGATATTTGCAGTTATATCTGCTACAAATTCTGCCCCTTTAAATACTAAATGATCCCATTACTACGGTTTGTCCCGCGTGATTAAGCCAGAGGTCGGCAAGGTGCGAGTTATGCGGCCCCCGACACGAGGCCAGAGTTCACCCCCCTCCTATTCCTCACCTCTCTTTAGGACTTTTCTGAAGGGCTGCATGGAACCTAAGATTATAAATTGCAACTTGTGACATGCGTCCTGAAAAAAAAAGACGATTTCTATTCCGGCTTAGTACATTGTAAGGTCATCGAAGATTTTTGTGTTTGCCTGGCGAGCATCTCTACTAGGCGCGGCCATAATTTTTTACACCAGCATTTTGTAAAGTTACGCGATATCAGATCCAAAAGAGTTAGCTGTCTCCCTTACTTTGTATAGCAGTACATTTTCCTGCTATCACATTAATTTCTTCACCTTTGAGGTAAAACTTTTTTTATAAAGCATGATGGCAGAGTACAGAAAAGAAAAAAGGACGGCAGGAACAAAAGTAGGGGTGGTGTCAGGTCTCCGGAACAACCTTGCAAAGACAGGTGCACACATGGGTGCACAGGACTGCTCATGGGCGGCTGTAAATGCGAAGCCATGAATAATACAGCAACAAATTGTAATATATGAAGTGCGGCAACCAACTTTAGTGGATGCGATCTGACGTAACTCTAGAAAACTCTGGTGTGAGAGAATATGGCTGCTTTAGTGAGCGCGACGCTTTTCGCACAGTCTCTTCGCGAGAGCGCAGCGCGTCGAAGTTCAGAGGGCGGCTCGCAGAGAGAGAGAGAGAACTTTATTTGCGCATAACGCGGAGCATTTCAAATGGTCAGGCCCCTATTCCAGGGCTCCGCTGGCCCTAGCCATCATCTCTACCCGTTGGACCAGCCAGCGCTGATCAACAATGGCCGAGCTGGACAGCAGCGCCTCCCATTGTTCCTCTGTGTTGTTCATGTTGTGGTGTTCTTCATTGTGATGCGTACACTCCCACGTGATGTGAAACAGAGTTGGTGTGGCCCCACACCACGGACATATATCTTTGTATGCTGTGGGGTAGAATACATGCAGCCTGTGTAAGTTCGCGTATGTGTTTGTTTGGATTCTGCGTAATGCCACCGATTCCATTGCTGTAAGTTTCTTATGCCGTGCTGGATACACTTTTCTATTGTCCTTGTAATACTGAAGAATTGCACCAAAGTTAGGGTCTAGAGCGTTGGATCCTCTATTGCAGTGTGCAAGGAAGCTCGGTAATCTGTGAAGCCTCGAGCCGCCTCATCCGCAAACTGGCTCCCGGTGACGCCCTCGTGCCCTGGCGCCCAGATAATGGTTTGGGTGTATTCAATTGGGAAGTCCTTGTGAGCTTTGGTTAGAATTTGGAAGGCCTTCATACATATTCTACCTTTTTCGTAATTTCTACATGCAGCCTTCGAGTCTGTGATTATTGTCATTGGGGCTTTTCGCTCCCTGCCCTCCTTGATTGCCAGCGCGATCGCTATCTCCTCCGCTTCTGTGATAGAGGCTTGGGCTATGGAGGCACAACTTGTGACGTTTCCTTTTCGGTCTGTGACCACGGCCACCATGTTCTTTGCATTTGCCTGATATGGTGCAGCGTCAGTAAATCTCGCCGTATTCAGATATTTCGTCTGTTTATCTATGTAAACGGCTCTTGCTTTACATCTTCCAGCATGTAAAACTGGGTCCATGTTCTTCGGTCGGGGGCATATTTTGTACCAGGCTCTGACTGAGCACGACAATTCCTTAGCTCTTCCATGTGCCTGTACTTGTTCGCCGAGGCCGATCCTCTGAAGAAGTTTTCTGCCGGTTGTCGTCTGTAGCAGGCGGTTAATCTGGGTGGTTACTTGTAGTAGTAGTAGTAGTAGTATTTTTATTTACAGTAAGCCGGATACAGAGCTCACTGCAGGGGCAAAGGGCTAAAGGCGAACAGCCTGACAAAGGCCCTTGTCCCTCCGCAGTCCGTGACAGTGCAAAGCTTAAACAATATATATATTCAATACATTGGTTTCAAGCAACCTGAAATTGTAAACACAAAATACAAACATAAATAGCATAAGAAGTTTACATAATACATTTTAAGAATTAGAGGTCACTCTCGTTATAATTCACATCTAAACAATATCAATGAAACAACTCAAAAACAGACACAAAATGCATGCGGATACAATGAATTCCGCTGTATACACTCGTATAATTGACATAGAAGTTTACGAACAATTTAAGCATTTGCAGAGGCATGAGACTCCATTACGTAGTTTCGATAGTGTAGACCGGTGGTTATGAATAAGTTCTTTATTTGTTTCTTGAAAGTCGCACTACTAGCCCAAAAGTTCAATTGATCTGCAAGGGTATTTAAAACCTGAGGTACCTGGTAAGCAATACTTTGTTTTCCATACTTGGTTCTTGTTCTAGGAGCTCGTTTCTTTTGTTCTCGCAGACTGTAGTGTGGTCTTTCGGTGCAACTTTCTTCATATAGCTTAGTCTTTTGTATTAACTGAAGTAATTTAAAATGATATAATTGATCAATTCTGAGTATGGAATGTTTAATGAATAGTGGAGCAGTGCGCAAGTCTTGTAGATTCCCCCTGTAATTTTCAAAGCAGCGCAATATTTTCTTTTGTATAGTTATTAACTTATGGTAATTCCCTTGTGATGTCGTTCCCCAGACTAACATCCCATAACTTACTTTAGAATGGAAGAGTGCATAGTACATACTTATTTTTAACCTCAATGGGATTAAGTGCATTGTTCTAAAAAAACTACCAACTATTCGCGCTAACGCGGTGATCAGATGATTTACATGTGTATTCCAGTTTAATTCCTCCTGAAACCATACACCAAGAAACTTTTGTTCCCTAACATGTGCGATGCAATTTCCTTCAAATTTTACAGCTATGTTACTAATAGGTTTGTTTATAGGTCGGAATATCATATAGGTTGTTTTTTTTTGCATTCAAGCGCAGTCCATTTTGCCTTAACCAATTTGAAAGATTGCTTAGATAATTATTTACACTGACCTCAAGTGATATTAGATTGTCTGATGAAAAGAAAACATTCGTATCGTCAGCGTACATTATAAGTTCAGGAGAATGAGGTATATCGACAATATCA